TATAGCTGAACTTGTATATACATAGTGAGGAACGTATTAAACTACATTGCTGTGAAGATAAAAATTCCTATAAGAAGGCATTTTAATATCATGGATTTTTAATCTGAAAAATGTATATCTGCATTGAGGGCACGGGGTCATTTTTCTGGGGAGATGATCTAGATTTGCTAAAGGATCTATATGATTTGAGAGTTTGGAAACTTTTAAAGCTGGCCTTTTATGGCTTACAAATGTGATTTAAAAGAATTGTTTTAAATATAGGAGTTTTATTGTCTTTGTGTTTCTCATATTGCCTACCATGGTGTTCTATTTGTCATGAGCATTCAGTAGATGTGGGAATTAAATTGTCATTTTTAAGCCTTGTTATCTTTAATAACGATGGGAAATTGTTACATTATACCAGTCTGTTATACTCTAAGGAATATGTCTTATTTATTTAATTCCTAATTCAAGGTGGCAATTAAAAATGCTTTTTAGAAAGCACACTAAGAATATTTTTAACTAGTATTAATATTTTAACCAACAAACAAATTTTCCTGATGTAACTCACTTAAAATTATTTGGTCCTGCAGTCTTTTTTTTTTTTTTAACAACACTATTTATGGTAAATTGGAAGCTAATCTACACTTTCATTTTTTGCCAATGCTGTTTATTATCTATACTGTACTGTACTGTTTAATAATTTAGAATGACTGTATTTACGTAACATTAATTTATGTTAAGATTAATAAAGTGGCAATGGAAAGTTCTTCATGGATTTGCAAAAGGCGACACTTGTTTTATCTCTCTATCCAACTGGTTTGTAATGTTTTATTTTAGCCTATTTCATCTGAAATCATGTGGTTCAATTTTTACTGTATTAATTCTTAATGAGTGTAAGGAAGACTTGGCTGTGAGAGAATCTGAAATAAAAATATTGCCAACTTTTACTTACAATGAAAATGGTTTCAATTGCTTTAAGTTGTTTTAAAGCTAAATAGCAGTATGGAAAGCTCAGCATTTGTTTTGATTCTGCTTTAAATATGCATTGTAAAGGGCAGAAGAAGCCCAACACTAACTGAAAGCACATCCCTGTTTCCTTGGTTCCTGCAGTGTCAGGATGAACGCAGGACCAGAACAGGGGCTTGATGTCTTCCATGAAGTCTGATTTCTCATACTAAGTTACTGATCTTTGATCCAATTAATATGGTCTAATAGTTCTTCTAAATTCCCCCCACCAGAGCATGGAGCCAGCACTGATGTAAGGTAGGTGTCTAAGTAGGCAGTTCTACTTCTGGAAAGAAATTTTTAAAAGGGAAGGGAATAAACTAATTTTCCTTATATTCTTTAGGACATTTAAATGATGCCTCAGGATCCAGGAAGCACAGAGAAATACTTAAAGAGTTTGGAGTGAATGCTACAGGTTTGTGCTTTTTGAAAAAAAAAAAAAAATTAAATGCTTTTCTGTCTTGATGCTTGTTTTAGGGGTTGTAGAAGGTGATTTAGCTGCCATAGAAGCATACAAGTCATCAGGAGGAGATATTGCACGTCAACTCACTGCAGATGAAGTACGCTTGCTGAACCGTCCTTCTGCCTTTGATGTTGGCTACACTCTTGTACACTTGGCCATACGTTTCCAGAGGCAAGATATGTTGGCAATATTGCTTACAGAGGTGAGTGTGGCATTTTGGTTAAATGTTGTTTTATATTAAGGAAATCTTTAGTTTTCATTTTTGATGTTATAATGTTTCTCCAAACAGTTCTTAAATGTTTTCAGTTCTTTTACTCCCTTTAAAAAATAACGTTGAACTAGAAACTTCAACAGTATGTAATTCTTAAGGGTATACGCTTTTAAAGTGGGTACTTCACAACAATATTAGAATCATCATGTTTGCTTAAAAAAAAAAAAACCTGAGACATATCTGTCATTCACTCATTTAATTGTTCAACTAACAAATATTTATTGAGTACCTATTGTGCATCAGGCACTGCTGAGAAGGGTTAGAATTGTGAAGACATTAGCTCTTCTTCAGCAGGTCTCCGGAAAAGTAGAGAAACGGGTAATTCTGTGTAGCTTGTACCCTGATAGATGAAGTGCTATATGAGTACTTAGGAAATGGTTTTGAGGTTTCTTCCCTTTTTACTCAGAGCAGGTAACACTTTAGCTAAGATCTGAAGGAGGAGTGGGAGTTAGCCATGTGAAGTGGGTGGGAAAGAGAGAGTTGCTTAGGAAAGCATTTATGCAGGGGCCAGAAATCGTGAATCCAGGGACTTTGCAAATAAGTCAGCATGGCCGAGTTGGTGTTTGTGAACTGAGAGAGGGGAAGTGTGAGAGATGAGTAGGGGCCGGATTATGAAGGATCTTTTGGTCAAGGAATTTGAAGATTATTCTGAGGGCATTCCTTCTGTGTCAAGGAATTTAAAAGTTATCCTGAGGGCACTGAAAGATCTTAGGAACAGGAGCAGGGGAATGAGAGGAGCAGATTGTGTTTTGGCTGCTGCACACTGTAGAGGTCGAGCCTGGTTAGGGGAGGACATTGCAGTGGTGCTGGCAAGAAGTCTGCCAAGTAGGGTAGTGGCCATGGAAATGAAAAGGAAGTGGGCTGGTTTGAGAGAGATTATGGACATGTCGTCAGTCTGAAGAAGTGGATCGATTGGATATGGGGAGAGACAGATCCAAGTTGATTCTGAGGTTTCTGGCTTAGATAATTAGGTAGATGCTGTGAATGATAAAGGTTGCAAATGAATTATTCAGGATTCGACTAGATTATCAAGGTAATTTTTTTTTTAGTGATAAGAGAAATAGAGTAAAAGTACAGTGAATCATATGAATGGTGGGTTCAAATTTTGTCAGTATACATCTTTTGTATATTTGTATACTTATGCCCTATTTGTTTATTCAAATTGGCCAATGTTTGGCAACCCTTATGTATAGGGCACTGTATGGGGATTGAAAAACATGAAGGTGAGATGAAAGTATGGTTGCAATGGCTAGCCATCGTGTCCAGTTTGGTAAGTGTATTCCAGCAATGGTGTGTCCTGAACTGACAGAACAAATCCGGAGGGAAATAGCTGCATCTCTTCATCAGAGAAAGGGGGATTTTGCTTGTCAAATAGAGGGATCAGAGTTCTGGAACATGGGAGAGAACAGTTAGAGGTAGCTTCTATGGTGTCTGAGGTCTGGCTGTATTTGTGTCGTGGTGTCCAGTTGTGTTGTATGTTGGAGGGGCCCTCAGTGTGGGGTTGTAGTGGTGGTTGTGGCAGGAGACAGGATAAATAAGGCCACTGTGAACTAGGGTTAAAGTCTTTAGAGGGATTCACAGGCTCCCTGAAGGCTGGTAGAAGAGTCTGCTACAGATTCTGGAGGGGCTGTCGTAAGTCACAGAACTCCTAAGAATAATCTGAGGACCAACAGTGGGATGATAATAGAGCATCAGTGCATATATTGCTGTATCACAAATTGCCTGAAAACTTGTCAGCTTAAGACAAGAAACGTTTGTTATCTCGTGCAGTTCGTGAGGGTCAGGAATCCATGAGCTGCTTAGATGAATGGTTTTGGCTCAGGATGTCACAAGGTTGCAGTCAAGCTGTTGGCCAGGGCTATCGTTGTCAGAAGGCTGGAATGGGACCAGAGGATCTGTTCCCAAGCTCACTGCTATGGCTGTTGGCAGGAGGCTTCAATTACTTGCCATGGGGGCCCATCCACAGAGCTGCTCGTGATGTGGCAGCTGGTTTCACCCAGAGCAGGTGATCCAAGAGAGGGCGAGAGTGATCCAAATGGAACCTGCGATGTCTTTTATAAACAAATTTAGGAAGCAATGTGCTGTTACTTTCTCCATATTCTATGGGACCTGTAGACTAACCCTGAAACAGTGTGGGAGAGGTGGAGGGGGTCGTTTCACATAAAGAGCAAAATTGGTAATGGATAGGAGAATGGTAGGAGAACATTGGATTTGGGGATATGTCTCTAGGGCAGGGGTTTTCATTGGGTTTTGTGTTGTGGACCCTGTTGGTATTCTGGTGGAATTTCTGGACTCTTTCTCAAAAATTATTTTTAAATGCGTAAAATAAAAAATAGCATTACAAAGGAAATTATTTGTAGTAAAATATAGTTACCAAAATACCAAATCAAATTTGTGATAAATAAGAAAATATATTTTAACATAAGGAAAAAGTTAGTGAAAATGAAAGATTTAAATTTAATTAAAACCAAATTCGCATTCAAGTCCGTGGACCCTAAGTTAAGAACTACTAGTCTAAGGAGGTGTTTGAGAATCATAAGGTTGAAGAGGTGAGCCAACGAGAGGCAGGCTTCAGAGACATGTCCTGCCTAAGAATGGTGGTGGAAGCGGGGATTCTTGGAGGCCAGGTTTCCCTTGGAATATTTGCAGTATTCAGGTCCAGTCTAGGTTGTTGATGGAAATGTCTTCCCAGGTTTTTGGAAAGGAGCTGTGGGCTAGCAGATTGGAATAAACCATTTTTGAATTTACCTTTGGGATCCATTTTAACAATATTACTTGAGAAACAGTCAGTTATATTCTGAAAGTACTTAATATTTGGGTTTCCATATTTGAGTGTTGATTAAAGGTTGGGTTCATGGAGTTACGATATAGGAGAATTTTCATGTTTACTGGTAATCCTGGCCAATAAAGTCTAGTAGAACTGAGTTTTCACGTAGGAGGTTTCAGAATAGGTTTCAGGTGGCTATATTGGGTAAGCAGGGTTTTTCAAACACTGTTTACCTACTTAAATAGCAATTACAGTTTAAGTTGTCCATCTATATTACTTAGATGACATTATCAGTAAATCTTATTCTTTGGGAGGTGAGAATTCTACCACTGAACCACCAGTGCTGCCCATATTCTTTGGGTGACTTACTAGAAGGTCTGCTCTCCAGGCCCCACTTGTGACTGGAAGGCTGCCTTCTGGAAGGTCATCCAGCTTGGTGATGTCAGAGAACCGAGCTCACTGGCTCACTTGGGGTTGTCATGCCATGCTCTCCTCCATACTAGCCTGTGCTCAACTTTGATTTCAGAATTCTGTTTGTAGCTATCTTGAGCTTTGCAAACTGAGTATGACTGAAACCTAAGGTTACATTTTTGCATCATTTCTTGCTGTTCAGCATTTAAAGAGGGGAAGAAAGTTCTACCCATTGTTCTATTTCCTTGTTCAGAGGCCTCTGCTGTAGTGCTTGCTACAACAGTGCTCACATCGCACTTCTTTCAGGCTAGACTTCTGAGGTTTAAACTTGGAAATACCAAATGCTTTTTAAAAGTTTCAGAGTGGTAACAAATGGGGAGAGGAAAGGAGTTTGAAATCACAGGGAACTAAGCCACTTTGTTTATTCCAAATCAGGGGACTTTGAAACATGTGGGAGAAGAGTGCTTGCAATTTTCTTTCTCTTCAGCTGGAATCCCTGTCTTTTAAGAGTGTTTTCATTGGGTACATGGTGGTTAGTCTATTTAGGTTTAGGCTCTCTGTCCTCCCTTCCCCTCCTATGATGTGCCTTTATGAACAACACCCTTTTATGTAAATTTTTATATATATCTTTGAGTATTTCCTTGGGATAAATTCTCAAGAAACAGAACTACTGAATCAGAGGGTAAAACATTTTTATGGCTACTTTTCTGAAAAGCTGTACTGATATGTACTGTCTCTGGTAAGAAAATAATACCCAATACATTTTAAGATTAGGAAAAAAAACCACATTGAGTTATTTGGAAATTTTGCTCATTTCTTTTAAATACTGTTGTTCTCTATTTCCATTTATGATAAATGAGATGCAGAGGAAAATTTCTTTTTTATTTAAGGTGTCTCAACAAGCAGCAAAGTGTATTCCAGCAATGGTGTGTCCTGAACTGACAGAACAAATCCGGAGGGAAATAGCTGCATCTCTTCATCAGAGAAAGGGGGATTTTGCTTG